TTTATTTATTATATATATGTGTGTGTGTGTGTGTGTGTATGATTCTCGCTAATACCCGAATTAGTTCCGTATCCACTGACACCCGTATTGCTGTCATACGTTCTCCTGCAGTACGATTCTTCATAAGATTCTACTGCGTACGGCCTTCTCCATTCTCAGTACAATGTCAGCCACGCTGCGCCTGCAGTTTGAGACGACGCAACGAGGCCGCTCGGTATCAACGGCCACTGGTGAGTGATGTGTTTGAGTGTACACACGAGTGCACATATATATGCATGTTAGTCTATGTTCTTATAAACCCATGTTTAATTCATATTTTTTAGTTTTTATATATGCATCTGCATATGGTAGTATACGTCATGAGTGTGCATGTACCATGTCAACATGCATGCTTGTTGGTGTTAATTGTGCGTGTACAAAGGGAAGCGTACGTTTTGCATGTACGTGTGCGCCTGTATAGATGATATTACTATATTGAGTGTTCGTGCATGAGTGCATGAGTGTATGAATGTATTAGTATGAGTGTATGAATGTATTAGTATGAGTTTGATTTAGGCACGTGTTCGTAGCATAGTCGCCTGCTGACATGTCATTCGGTTTGTAACACTTAATTGCACACTTTGCCGACCGTTTTTGGGTTTTTGGGTTTTTCTAAAACTGATGCTCACACACTTACGCAGAGGCTAAACCCTCCGCCGCCTGTGACCAACCCGATGCAAGCAGCATGTCAGGGCCAATCATGGTTGAGGTAACTCCCTCGGAAGAGCAGTCTAAAAATAGCAACCAATCAGACGATGAGGATGTGGAGGAGATTGGCGAGGGTGAAGATATGGACACCGTTGCAAAGAAAGCAGAACTAGTACAACACTGGAAAGAATTCGTCCCCACAGCCATGACCGCAGCCATCAAACAACTGCTGGAGGGTGATCTAGCAGCAATGGTAGGTGCCCCAGCATGTGTGAGAGGTTCACCGCGTCTGACTTTCTAAGAGTTGCGGATATGATATATATGTATATGTATATGTATATGTATATGTATATGTATATGTATATGTATATGTATATGTATATGTATATGG